TTCCAGTATCCTTATCTGTTTTCGTGAATTTGAGACTTTAGTTTTATCATCACCTGCAAGCTTTCTCAGCCAAGGTTAAGTCTCGCTCAGGCAGAGAATCTTCCCAATCCAATATGGTGTCTTTAAGCTTTCCTCTGAAACACAATGTACATGTAAAAACATGAGTCATACATACAATATTCTCCAAGTTCACATAAATACAAGAAAAAAAGGACATGCAGAATAATCTGTGCAAAAAAGTTACCTGCATCCTCTGAGACCCCTAGCTTTAACAACATCACAAATCTTCCCAGTGTACTTGAGACCCATAGTGCCCACAGTATGATCTCGAACATACTGCCTAGAAGGAGGTAATACCAAAGTTAATTACAACAAATTCACATGAACACAAATTGCATGCTTTAGACAAATTAATTCACACCTGTTGAAAAGCAGCTTTACATCTTTAAAAGGCCAGGATGACTTTTGAATTAGTCAAAAATATATTTTTTGTAAAGTTGTGTGTCACAATTGAATGTGTCTCCAAGCAAAAAGCTGTTATATTAAAAATTTCTACTTACTTTCCACATCTTTCACATTCTTCAATGAACATGTTCCCATGCAGTTCAGATAACTTGTCCCTGAAAATTGTTACATTTTAAGTTTTGCTTTCAATAATCAAACTCAACAGAAATCAATAACAAAAAATGTAAGCAATACAGCATATGGATGCCAAAAAATGTGTTCTATACCTTATTTATTATCTTAGGCAGTGCAATCACTTACAAAAAAAGTCATGAGGCCATAAATACAAATTTCAGTGCCAGAAATTTTTGCAAAGGTTGCCTCTGCAAAATAGTATGCCTTTTCATATCATTTGATATTAGAAAGAAACAAAAAAATCTGGCTGGATTCATGGCTGCCTGTTGGATTCCAGGTTTGCTGGTTGGCACGCCAAGTGCTCGGTAGTGACATCACCGTGCACATCTGCCAAATGACATCACTCGCATCCCTCAGCGTTGAGCCGGGTTAGTGCATCGCACTAACATCACATCCTCCCCCTTACCCTCCGTCCACCCTATGGTGTATCCCACGCAAATAGGAGAGGAGACAGCAGGGGGGTTAGAGGGGGAAGAGATAGAAAGGAACAGAGACAGCAAAATGGAAAAAAGAGAGGCAGGGTAAGCGACATGCAATGGGAGGATTAGGGAGAGGCAAGAGATTGAGATGGGACAGGGAGAGGAGGGAAAAAGGAGAGCAAGGGTGAGAGGTGGGAAAAGAAAAAGGGAAATACAGTGGAGGTACCAAAGAAATATAGAGGGAGAGGACAACGGAAGTGAGAAACTGATAGAAATAAAGCAAGAAATCGACAGCAATGGGGATATACAGTACAAAGGCAAGAGAAAGGTGGAGACAGGCCTCTATATAGATAAAATGTTTTGCTGGCTGACTGGGACGGACAGATGATCACATCCAAAGGATGTGTAGGTTGGTAATTGAATGTTTAAAATCATGAACATTTTATGTATTTATGCAGGTCTACAATTAAGCATTAATCTGAGCAGTGCCTGCTTTTTCATTAACTAGAACAAAAAAAATGCGACCCATCAACTATGGTCGATGAACCAATACGGATAATAACCAATTATATCAAATCTTATCAGGGGAATCTATTAATGTTTTGTTATTTAGCAGTATATAAAATATATAAACAATGCTTAACTTTTGAATTTTTAAAACCCCTTAAAAAACCAATGCGAGTGTGTATACATAAAAAAACTAGTAAATTGGCTTTTTCTATTTTTTTTCAGGATTTCAAAAATCGTCACGCCTTATTTCTTCTTTAGACTGCACTGAACATTTCACAATGAAGACGTTTTTTGTATTATCTTGCAGTGTGCACAACTGACCCCATATCCACATTATTAAATGCAATGAATGAGCAATGTTCTTCATACCTTGGAAAGCCAGAGCGGATGTGCAAACCGTCGACATTTTGGCTAACCAGGTGCTTGAGAAGGCCCTCTCTATACAGCCCCAACATAGCCATGTGGGTGGCAGTGGGCCGTGCATCCTCAAAAGTGATATTGAACTTTGGTGTTAACCCCTTCTGCTCCATTGTCCATACTCCATTGGGGCCTCTGTAATCATCAGACAAAACAAAATTAATTTGGGTATCAAAACATTTCCAGAATCCGATGCAGACAATTTAAGAGTAATATATATTTTTTTATCAATTAGGAAAACGTTGTTCGCTGGCTTCCTGCCTGGATTCCTTGCTGGCTGTCTGGCCTACATACACGGTAGTGACGTCACTGTGTACGTATGCGTGATGTCACCCACATCCCAGTGTTGAGCCGGTTTCGTGGACGCTGACGTCCAGCCTCTGCCCCACCCACCCTCCACCCCGATAATATATCTCGCACAAATGCAAGAGAGAGAGATGAGGGAGGTGAGGTAGATAAAGGAAGAGATGGAGAGGAGAGGTGTGTGAAACAGCGAGGAAAGAGCAAGATGGAAAGAGAACGGGATAAAAGTGACGAGCAGTGAGAGGATTAGGAAGAGGCAAGAGAGATTGAAACGGGAAAGGGAGAGGTGGGAAAAGCAGAGCGGGGGTAAGAGAAACAGGGAGATAGGGGGAAGCGAGTAAGATACAGAGGAGTGAAACTAAATATACAGTAGGAGAGGTAGATGAGGGGACAGCGGAAGAGAAACAAAGCAAGAAACCGATATAAATTATGATATACTGTATATTACAGAGAATACAAGAGAGGTGGAGAGAGATAGGGCTCTATATAAGATTAAAACAAATTTGCAGGCTGGGAGAGATGGTCAGATTCAAAGGACATGCAGGTTGCTATTATTTGATCCAAAAGGGTCTTAGTGGGATATTTGGTCAATTCCTTTTAGTGATCAGGTGGAGGGAATCTGGAATATCTGGGAAACACATGCATTGGATTATCACTCGAAAAGTACGCAGATAGCCACCTCTCAGCTCGGCAAATTTGTAGTCTCACAACAGTACACAATCCACAATAGTTGCTTCCAAAGTGCGGGAATTAAAGGTGTGGCCCACGAAGTACCAGCTGATGATGTGGCGTTCAGCATGTTTTTCATCCTCAACTTTATCACAGCGCTACACATTTCCACTAAATTTCAAAGGAGTGTTACAGGCATGCTTTCCTGTATTGATTCATGGAAAATGGCCAAGTGATGCACGACAGATACATCTCCTCTTTCGGTTGTGTACATGCATCATTTGAGGGCTGTGCAAAGTGCAGCTGGTGCCAACCTGAAGTCTGGAATCCCGGCTGCTGTGCTGACTCCAGCGCCTGTATGTATCACCATGTATTTGGAGGCACGGACTAAATCCGCGAGCTCGAGCACTTTGCGATCCACCTCCTCCGGTGGATCTATCTTCTGCAAGTTCAAAGTGGTGAATGGTAACGGTGGGGTTATATATCAATCGATATTATGAAAACATGTATTTAAAGCAGCTGTTCGTTGATATATTCTTTATTTACATCATGGGATATACATAAAATTTTCACCTGAGACCAGAGGAAAAAAAGCACAGACAATATCGGTACAAATGTACAGGAACAAGCTGGGTACGGTTAAAGGCAATTCAGCAAGTACAACTACAGCATATGGTGAAATGTTAAGATGTTGGTACTGAGTAGATTAAGGGTAAAGTTGATTGAAGATGGTGCTGTGGTCGAGGAGGAATTGTGTTGGGTTAAAGGTAGTTTAGTTGGGACAAGTGACGGTGTTACGGATTACTTATTTACGAACGTGTACAGTTTAAGGTTAGCTTTGGTGCATGGGTTGAGTGGAAGTAGAATATGGTTAGTATTGAGATATGATTTTAAAAGACTGATGATTGGGTAGAGTATGGTTCGGGGTAGAGAGAGGTGCAGGTTATAAATAATAGGACAGAGATATTTCTGGGTTATGATAGAGTGGAGTACAAGTAGCGAGTTGGATATACGATGGATAGCGAGTTGAAAGCTATGGTGAAGCAGCACTGTTAGTGCTGGACCATAAAATAGTTTAACATTTTCCATGGTACTACTTTATACTATACACATGCCCTGCACCATTCATTTAACAAGCCTGGCGCTGCTGATGAGGTCCTGCCGGTCAAAACCCGGTGTAGTTTTCTGGCTTAAACACATGCAGCTGAACATCGGTCTGGAAAACCCAAGAGGTCCATGGAATAAATACTAATCACGTATTTCCGCACTTCCAATTAGCACGGTTGGCTACGTCCGGCGCCAAGTTGTTACATTCACACATTTGCACATGTGCAGACACAGAACGGAACTAGATTATAGATAGTATTCCTTTCTAAAAGTAGTCCTATTTACTTATGCACGATGCTCCCACTGTATTTGCTACCACGAGTGGTGTTAAAATTGCAATATTGTTACGTATCACTGCAGTGGCCGTGTTATGTATATTACCGGACTTCGATAACACTGCAGTGGAAACGTGCAAGCTTATGGATAACGCTAGACGATGAAAAAAGCCAGTCGTGATGCATCACGTATGTTCGATAACGGTAGCAGTGCAGTGTACAGCAATCGCGCGGCGCCTGTACGCAACTATGGCGGAACTCACAAACACGCACACCCCACACAAACCTCGGCCTGGCCGCATTTCCCCTTATGCGGGTAATCCGAGAGGCCGGCCGCGTAGTTGATGGACATGATAAGGCTGCAAAAAAATCGCGAATATACTAAACTTAGCAATAATAACAAAAGCAACAATAGTAACAATAGCGGTAGCGCGCTCGCTGTAACCCACGCCGACTACGCTTGACCCTTGCACTCTGACCCGCCCCTTCCCGCCGCGTTACGTCATAGCATGACGACATCGCCCACTCAACAACGCAAGACGGGCCCAACTACATGACGTCAAATTGTTGTGCTGAACGTATGACATCATTGCTACCCTCCCCCCCACCCAGCCCAGGGGCTACGGGGTCCCGCAGCGGACAAAGCGGTTTGCGGAGTGGCGCGACGCGTTTGCGAAAGCAGCGGACCAACTTTTTTGTGTGGCAGGCAGCATCATCGATTCAAAGTATCTTATACCGAGCATTTGTTTAGTTCCTCGCTCTGAAAGTTTGCATGCTATTTTACGTGTGCGGTTTATTTTTTTTTAAGGTAACCTGGCGTGTTTGCTTGGTATAAAGTGAGTCCGCAGTATAGCGGGAGGGTGAATTGTGAGGATTTAATTGTAACGCGTGGAGAGTGGAATCTGGAATCTAGTTGCGTTGACGAACCCAAATGATTGTGTGTGGCGTTTAAACACGACCCCCACGTGTAACTTCTTTTAGAGTTTGCACGTCTCTTACCTCGCAGTGAGAGTGAGGGTTTTTGTTTAGTTTTACTGAGCCAGAGTTTGCAGGTATTCATAAATTAAGCGCAGCTTCTTGCTGTTATTTGATTTAAAAACGGGGGCATTTTTCTCGTCACTTTTTTTTTATTGTACAAGTACCGACATATTTCGCTCGATCGTGGCATTCACTGCATTTAAATATAGTGGTTATAAATGATTGCCCTAATTTTTTTAAACATGTTTGGTATTAAAGGTATTGCATTCCGATACTGTATTATACTTAAAATGTTATGCGGATAGCGAATTTAATTTTGACATTCAAGTTTTTATTACTGCACGAGGACAGCGACTAAAGGGAGCTATATAGAGCCCCTCTGGAGGATATTTTTTAATTCTGTGTGCATGTGTATTATAATACATTTGATGTGATTTAAGGAAATATGACCGCCCATTGTTATATTTGTCTTGGTTTTTCTTTCACTTTTGATTTTCTTATCAGTGATTTTTATTTTGTTTTTCTATTTAAGGTGGGGGGGAAATTCGTTGAAGCAAGTGGACAACACCATCGGACTCAACAATGAAAAGCTGGAAAGCAAAGTTTAAGAAAAGCGATGTGAGTATTAACATAAAAAAACAACACACCTTTTGAATTAGCATTGCGGCGATATTGTGATCAGCATTTTAATGTATTTTGATTGCAATTGAACGTGTATTGTACAATGAATTAAGGGCATTCGTGAGCAAGGTCCATATCTGTGTGTATGAAAGAATTGATGTTACTGTACATATGATGATCATCATATTCTATACCTACGTGACTTTACCGAAAGAACTGAAGAGTATGGATCCCTGCAGTCACGAAAACTTCAAATCTAGATCATCATCCATGTTCAGTTCAATGCTGGGTGATTGCCTCCTCCTCATGCTGCCGCCACCTCCCAGCACCTGCACAGGAGATGATTTGCTGCAGGTCTGTACAATATTAATGAAGATACATCAACAACAGCACAGAATCACCTATAGGGTTGTTGACTTCTGGCGCAGTGGGTATTGCTTGACCTCATCTTGTCTGCTAAAGATTCCTGATATGCATCAAGTGGTTTGCCGGAAACAAACATGATGCCAGTATAAATGTATCACAAAGCAGTATTTCATCTAACATCTTGCAATATCCACATGGGAACTTATATACGCATTCGTAAACGAAGACGTATTATACTCTTAGGTTTTTTTCGGTAAAGTCACGTAGGTAAAAAATAGAAATAATAATAGAAATACAATTATAAATCATTATTTCTATTATTGAATCATTATTTATTTATTTACTTTTTACCTACGTGACTTTACCGAAAAAACCTAAGAGTATGAATCCTTGCAGTCACGCAAGCTTCAAATCTAGAATGAAGACGTATTAGGAAAGCAAGTGACAGGAATGGATTATGATGGTTAAAGATGCGTCAGAAGTATAATAAATGTGAATCTTGACTCCTTGTCATTGCTTTCAGTGGCAGCGTTTAACAGACGAAAATGTTACGCCGGATGTCGTGATGGGACCCCTGGCAAATGAGTGCGTGCATTCCTCTACCCTCTTAACTGCTTCCTGATGAGGCAGACAGGCAGACACGGGCAATGGGCTGACTCTTTACATCCGCAGGCGGGGTGGAGTTCAGTCTGCAGGGACTTTAGCAGTGCCAATGTCGACCGACTTGGAGTTTCCTGAAAGTCTGGATTGTGGAGATAGTCTGGTGTTGTTGTTAGGTTGACCTTGAAAAGTTATTGCGAATAATGCGCAGTTCTGATACGTTTCAGTGCATTAAAAAAAATTAATATAGTTGATGAAACATTTTTTTTCCTTTGGCAACTCATTCTTTGGAACATGAAATAAAACTCAGGCAAGCAAAACCCGTCTCGGGTTTTGTTTGCCTAGCAGTGGTTGGTAGAAAAGTACTGGGATAATACCATGCGTGTATTCATCATCTTAAGTTTATAAACAAAGCTTGTTTATCCTCATTAAGAATTGGTTAAATACACTTAATTATTTCTCCAGGGATGAAAGCAAATAGTTCAGTGAGGGGCAAAAGCATAATTTAGAGACAACATCGTGAGCTGCCTGTGAAACCAGTTTTGCTCTTTCCTTGCATTACAGGTCCTATCATTTTCCAAGGTTACACCAGCTTGACAAGCATTGCATCTGTGATTGCACTTCATGCCTGAAGACCTCCCAAGATAGTATCATAAAAATTCATGATAAATACAGATAACTCGTGCAATGTTTGATGTGGCTGCAGGTTAATACTTAATACGTCATTTTTATAATTTTCACATTTTTGGGTTTTCAATGCGTTATTTCTTAAATGTGCTTATTTAAATTTTACACTTAGTACTGTCATACTCACTGATTGCATTTCAAATCTCAATACTATTGTAGATTAGCTGAATTTTCAGTAATTTAGCTCCATTTTAAAGGTATGTGCATACATGCATTGCAAATCTGCAGTTAGCTGGTCAGTTATATATTAACCAGCTCAAAGCTCTGACATTAGCATGATGTGTGTGACGCTTAGGTTTACTGGAAAAAATCCTTTAAGTTACCTTAGCACTCGAGATGAGGTTTTGAAGTTCCTGGAATTTGTATTTATTTACATGGTCACATCTGTTGATGTCAAAGATCACATAGTGGGCACGTCTGTCTGCAACAACATTGCATGTAAGCACACCGCTTGGAGTGAGCTGTAATTTCCAGCATCTTTCATGATACATTTGGAGTACATCCTTTCATCTAGATGTAACGTTCTCTCGGTTTTCTAGCGTATATTTTATCTGCCATCTGGTTTCAGATATTCCTATTGAGTAGCAATGTAATTCCGAACAAAACGGTGCACATAATAATGAGAAATATCCAACATTCACTGATATTATTTAACATCACCTGAAGAGGAAAATCCTTGCTAAAATGTCAGAATAAGTTACAAGAAGCAGTCATATTTAAAAATAATAATCTTATTTTTGCAATTCCTTGACATTTTCAGTTGAATAAAAAGAACCCTGTTTATTTTTCCCAGTGTGGAGCAGCCAAAGGGAACGTGAGTGGGTGTTTGGAGCCAAATAGCAAATGGCTTGCTCTCTGGGGGTTAATTATTCCCTTAGGTTCAAATTTGCATTTTACCCATGCCTCCTCTCTGCCATTCTCAGGCAAGAATAAAGACCAGCCTGTTTTTTCTTCTCTGGTATCAATCTCTCCCATTTCTATTGATTGTGCAACATTCCTCTTTATTCCCTAGAATGGCTCTGCCAAACACAGGGGAGCTATTCAAGCCTGAATATTTTTAATGACAGAGAACTTCAGATAGTTGGAATTTTACTGCTAAGCACTACTTAATCCCTAACAATGTTGAATGCATGACTTGTTGGCTACAACACTTATTAGACCTAATGATTATTGAAGTGTAAAAGTGCAATTCATTGGAATTATAATACAGTAATTGTAATGCTACACACACATAAAATGCACTGGACTCTTAATCTTTCACGAAGCACAAAACATATTTACAGACACAGAATATTCCACATCAAATATGTATTTCAATAATTGTAACTGTGAGATCATATTTTGTTTTCTTGTAAATACATTCAGTGGTCAGTTTGAAGACATCTTTTCATAGATGATTTGCCTGCTATACATTTCCACGTGATACGCCACTTCGTTGAGCTATCATTTGTGGCCAGGTCGCCTCTGAAAAATTGTTAATAGCTGAGTGGGCTTTATCTGGTAAAATAAATTTTTTTTAGTTTTATTTCAAACATTGCATCAGTTATTTTGTTGGTTTTGAAACGCAGCAGCTTTGTTTTCCATCGTGGTGTGCAGTAGAGGCCGACCGAAATTCGGTTTCGGCGCCGAAAGTTGGCAAATAGCCTCTTTCGGCATACTTTCGGTTTCGGCCGAAAGTCAATTTTTAACTTTCGGTCTGGTTTCAGTTTCGGCCGAAACTGATATTGACTTTCGGTCGTCATTTGTCAACCGAAGATCTATTTTTAGAATATAATCCTAGTGCTACGTCTATCACTGCCTATCGGCCGGTCAGTCGGCGCTAGGCAATCCTATGCAATAGGCTGTAAACACATACACGTCAGCAGCAGCAACTTGGGAGCGAGGTTACAGCCGCAACCATGGTCTGCTAATGTGTATATGACCGGTCAACAGACGGCAGCCTGTCTGGCTGAATGTGGGAAAAACTGTTGTTTCTTAACTACAACATTCGTTTGTTTGGATATAATTACTAAGTAAGTAACACCTAAAGATTTGAATGATTAGTTCTAGATTTCTTTTTAATTAAAGGAGCATTGCATAATGACATATTTCATAAATCTTGTGTTCGGTAACTTCGGTTATATGCCGTTCTGTTTCGGTCTCGGTCGAAAGTGTAGTTAAACTTTCGGTTTCGGCTTCGGTTTCGACCGAAACCAGAAATTCAGTTTCGGTCGGCTTCTCGTGTGCAGTTTATAATAGGTCACAGTTGAATGAGAGACAGGATGATTATCCTTCAAGAAAACCCATCCCACTATCTTCTTAACTCGGTTCCATAGCTTTTTTTTACAATTGGTACAGCCATATAGCCGTGAACACTTCTACTTGTAGCTTGTACAGTGACTGAATTTCAGGAATTTTTCTTAAGCCGGAAATCTACAGAGCTTTAATTTATATGAGTTTAAATGGTCATGCATGCACAATACATGAATATGCAATGCATTTCCAATGACCCTCATGAGAAAAAATGCGATGCAGTGATGAAGGTCACTTGCAGCCCTTGGCATTTTTGAGGCCAGTTTGTATATGCGCATATACGTTTCTACAAACTGGTTAATTAAAGTGTAGAAATCACTGACAATTTTGTTTTCTGCTCAGCTGTGCATGAGGTGGCATGCATCTTCTATTCACAGCCCTGAGAAAGTAATGGACATTCCACATTCCTTTGGTGGGAGTGTGTCTTTCCATACGCCAACAAATGTTGACTTCCTCACAAAATAGATTTTTTTTAATGAGTTACCTCCGATTTGTTTTACACGCGCACCCTTCCGATTGCAAGTAGCATACTCCACCCAGCTGGATATGTAACCTAATACATGAGAATGGAGTTTGTTTGGCCATAATTCACCACACTGTTCACTGCCAGTTGGTGAAGCCCTGGATTAGTGCAGATATTACACTGCACAGATGTTAACCGTATCCGGGAATCAAATCCAGGTGACAATGTGCTAATCACTGTGCCACTGCTCCAACCAGTTCGATATGTAGCTATGTACACAGTTAATATATACACATATTTGTAATATCACCCAGGAATGTCCTTAACGCTCGTGACGTCACTCAACATCGACCATCATCTCCCCTCATTAATATTCATGAGCAGGTGACGTCCTCCAAATGGACACCCCGCCACCCCTCATCCGTAACACTGTAACAAAAAAATGTTTTTGTTCTTGGGTAGAAACTATTATTTTCCAATTGCGTATGCCTCAAAAGTACAGAAAATGGCTATTATTCCCCACATACTTTGCTTTTGTGACCAGGACAGTGACATTTTGAATTTACCTATTTTAAATGAGAAAACGTGT